TTTTTTTTTTTTTTTTTTGGCGCCTCTAACAGATACATATCTTGGATTCTAATTTCTTCAGTTTGTTATATATTAATCTCTAGTGATTTCTCAGTAATGGGTAGGGTCTGGTAAAGTCCTAAGTCTGCAGAGAGGTTTTAAACACAGGCCATACATATATGGAGGGGGTGGGTACTAGCTAGGCAGAGAGCAGTGGAAGAGCGTGTGTGCTTGTATGTCATAGTTTGGACTAATGTCCTGGCACGGCTGTCCCATTTCCTGGCATGTAAGAACTGGATCTTAAGGCTGCACATACTTGGCAAGCCCTATTATGTTACCCTCCCAAGGGGGTGCTTGGGTAACGAAGGTGATAGATAATACTGGGTAGGTACTGGTGGGACCCAGGGACATGAGAAGATATGGAAAGAATCCCTTTTAAAGAGCTTTATTGCATTAGAGTTTAGTGTCTGTAAACAATTACAGCATTCAGGGAGTGCAGAATTCAAATGAGAAACACAACTTTGTCAGATTATACCACTTGGATAAAATGGCATGGGCTCCGGAAATCTATAATTAAATGTATTTTTGAAAATGAAAAGTATAGTGTAACATCTGGTTTATTTCACTACGGAAGTGCCTGGGTATTGCTCATGTAAGTGTGATTGACTTTGGCTGATATTTAGATTTCTTTGTGTAAAATAACTATTTTAATTAAATTTTTTTCTGCTTGATTCTGTTTTGTAAACAAATTATTCATGTGCACACACACTGTCACTAGAAAATGGCTGTCTTTAATGTGGAATTTAAGAAACAAAACAGATGAACATAGGGGAAAGGAAGGAAAAAGATGATAGGGAGGCAAACAATTACAGACTCTTAAATACCAAGAACAAATCGAGAGTTGATGGAGGGAGATGGGGGCAGGGAGAATGGACATTAAGGAGGGCACTTGCTGGGATGACCACCGGTGTTGTATGTAAGTGTTGTATCACTAAGTTCTACTCCTGAAACCATTATTACGCTATATGTTAACTAACTTGGATATAAATAAAATTAAAAAGAAAAAGAAAATGGCTGTCTTTAGAAGAACTAATGTTTGTTTATTTTCTTTCTGTTGCAGCGGATATTCAACTCCTTTGTTTACACTGAGAAAATCTCAAATGGAGAAAGTGAAGTACAGCAGGTAAGAGATTATTAGGACTGGACATTCTCTTTGTCTTGCTTCTGGTTACGGCTTCAGTATTCTCTGCAGGCCATTTCCTTGTGAGGTTCCAGCTGTTTTCCATGTGATTTCATATACGTCTTAAAGCATAACGGTGCCAACTTTACACTTGCAGTTCTTACAGGTAGTTGAAAAAATGGTTCTATGGATGGTGTTTTGCTATTTGGGTTATACTTTGGAAATATTATTTAATTCATTTTCATTGTTTCGGAGCACCTGGGTGACTCAGTTGGTTAAGCATCTGACCTCGGCTCAGGTCATATCTCACGGTTTGTGGGTTCGAGCCCTGCATCGGGCTCTGTGCTGACAGCTCAGAGCCCCGGAGCCTGCTTCAGTTTCTGTGTCTCCCTCTGTCTCTGCCCTTCCCCCATGTTTGCTCTCTCCTCTCTCTCTTTCAAAAATAAACATTAAAAAAAAAAAAATCATGGGGCACCTGTGTGGCTCCGACGGTTGGGCGTCCGACTTTGGCTCAGGTCATGATCTTGTGGTTTGTGAGTTGGAGCCCCGTGTCGGGTTCTGTGCTGACAGCTCAGGGCCTGGTGCCTGCTTCGAATTCTCTCTCTCCTTTCTCTCTCCCTCCCCCCCCCCCCCCCCCCCCCCGCCATCCTCTGCTCATGCTCTGTTTCTCTCTCAAAAATAAACATTAAAAAATTTTTTTAAAATATATTTTCATTATTTTGAAAATTCCTGAACTACTCATATTTAGAAATAGTAGAAATTGTTTCATCTGATAGAAGAAGTGCCCTGGTGCTGGAATCACACCGATAACCCAGGTCAAATTCTGGTTTTCTTACTGATTCCATGACCCCCAGTAAGCAATTAGGCTTTTTGATCTATAGTTTCTTGGTCTTACATAAGGGGAATACAGTATCTGCTTTATGAGCTAGTGAGAATTAAGTGAAGTAATGTCAGGTTAGTGGAGAATAAATGAAATCTTTTCTATGGAAGATTCTGGCATAGATGCAGCTCAGTGGATATTGGTCTCTTTTGTTCTTTTATTTTTCTTTCCTCCTCTTGTATTTCTTCCTTTGCTTCTTTCCTTCCATCTCCTTTCAATGCTGTGTGGGGTCAAAAAGTTCTGAGGCCAGATTCTATTTACTTTATTTATAGCTGCCTTCAAATGGACTGCTTTGTAAATTAAAACATAGTGTTGGTGAACTTGGTCATAAATAATTGATCTGTGCTTGAAAAGAAGGGTGGTAAAGAGGATTCTGGGTTTTAATTTCAACTAACCCACCAACTTCATTACACTATGCGACGGTCAACTGGTAATTTGAAGCGAGGTTGGAAACTTAAGTAAAAAACACGACCAAGCTAAAAACCAAACTGTAGCAGAGTGCTTCCATAGACTAAAAAGACAACTATAGTAAAACACATAATAATTCAAACTCTCTGAGATGCTGCCTTTATTTTCTTCATGGAAAACAGCTTGACTTGATCACTTTAGAAGCACCAGGCAAGAGGAAAAAGCCTTGTGTCATTAGAGTAAACTTATTTATGGGATAGTTATTTATTTATAATAAATTACTGTGGTTTAATCTTGAAGTTCAGCATTTCCTGTGTTTAGACATTAAAATGTTTTATTGGTTACTGCAGGTTAAATTTAGAGGATATAAGCACTTCTGTATGTATTCTTTTTCTTAGCATTAGATATTTTTAAAAACTAATGACCCTGCGTTATAGTGAATATAATGTGGTTTGCTCTATCAAGTCTTATCTTTATCATTCCGGTCTTGTTTTTATTCCAGCAAACTGAAAAGTGCCTTTTTAGGGTCATGACATTGAAAAGGGTTTTTAGGGGGGAAAGATTTCTACACAAAGCATGTCTGAGGGAACTTTTTGGGAGACCAAAGGCCACTTGATAACATTTTAAAGAAACTGAACCAGGGATCTCAGCTTTGGTGCTTTCCTTGAAGTAACAGATACATGTCCTTCCGTCAGCTCTTTTCAAACACGAGACTTGTTTTGTTTTCCTGGACTGATGTCATTGCTTTATTTATCTAACTGTAGAACAAATTTGGAAGCCTTTAATAACTTTTTAGAATTATAGCAATTGATTGAACACTTATGGAACACTGATGCTTACCACATTGATTTTTTTTCCCTAAATAACCTTGAAGGAAAGCTATCCTTATTACAGATGAGCAGAGTGAAGCTCTAGGAGATAAGTTATTTGTAGTCATTAGACTATTAAGTCAACTAGTTTTCAAAATAAGTTTGACACAAAGTTATATAGTTTTTTAAATTTTTATTAAAAATTTTTTATTTTAATTTTAAGGGTTTTATTTTTATTTTAAGGGTTTTTTATTTTTATTTTTATTTTAAGGGTTTATTTTTAAGATCTGTGTTTTCAGGGGCACCTTGGTGGCTCAGTTAGTTAAGCATCTGACTCTTGATTCGGCTCAGGTCATGATCTTACCATTTGTGGGTTGAAGTCCCGCATCGAGCTCCATGCTGACAGTGTGGAGCCTGCTTGGGATTCTTTCTCTCTCACTCTCTCTATCCTTCACCTGCTCGCTTGCTTGCTCTCTCTCAAAAAAACTAAATAAAACTTTAATAAATTTAAAATTTGTAGTTCCAGTTCAAAATAGGAGTCTCTGCTAAATTTTTCTTTGTTTCTGAGTAATTCAAATGAAGAATTAACACCTCGTCCTTTGTCTCCTCTGATTCTCAGAAAGTTCTTTTTTATGTTGACCCACAATGTACTTTTAACTTTTCTCCAGTCTCTCCAGTCTGCCCTCTGGAAGAACCCTGAACATATAGATCTTATGCCTCTTTTGCATCCAGTATTTGGAGAGAATTATCATGTCATTATTATTGTTAGAAGAATCATAACTTCTTATAAGATTTGTTTGATAAGCCAAAAACAGGCTAGTTAATTCAAAGTAGATTATTAACTTCTGCACTCCATTTTAGCTCAGTCTTTAGTGAACCACTTCTTAGTGCATGTTTTGGTATATTTTGTAGGCTCTTGAATCCTGACTTGAGTTTGCTATCCATCATTCCTCCATTGGGGTAATGAAAACTAGAGCCTCATGGGTTCTTACCCTCCTACCTTACTAATCAATTCTTATTGAGTGTTGGATCTGACTTGTGCATACTATATAAGTTGGCAGTAAATCTCGTGTGTTGTTAATATCTTCCTGGTTAAGAGAGCAAAGTAATTAAAACTAATAAAAACATTTTGTGATTCTTGACTCTTACCACAAAACTCTCTCTATGGTACAGAATCTGCTTTGAGTTTTCTAATTATTTCTTTTAAATTAACCTTCAGAGTGTAGCTCTAAATGCCTAACAATGTGTTTTAAATCTTTAATTAGTTCAGTATCTGTAGTATCAGTGCCAAAAATCTGTGGCAACAGCCTCAGGAAAATAAAAATCCCATGCACACATTCTTAAAGGGAGCATTTGCCATAGACTCCATTTTTTAAAACTTTGAGAAATGAAGTTGTATGAGCCCATAAAGGCATTATATGAAATTGAACCTGAATCAAGAAAAAGAAATTTTTGATCAAGTGCCCCAAAGAGAGCAAAAACGATCCATGAAACACAAAGCAGTGAAGAAGAAACAAAAGAGAAAGAGCCTCTTGGAGCATTCCTTTGGATCACTAAAGAAATCACAGGCACCTTGGACATGTTTCAAGAGTTTGGTCTAACTTTCTCCAATGCTCTAGTAATTATTTATGTTAATCATTCAATGAAATAGCGAACATATTTTCATAATGCTATATGTCATAAAGTATTGATGTCACTGGCTGATTTTAGAAGACCTCAGAATTCTTAGGGGACAGGCAAGATCACGGTAAGCTCAACACTTCTGTGTGAGACGAAACTGACCTCGGGCCAAGAGCTTGCCTCTAGCAGTACTCTTTTCTTACAGGGTATCCGTTTAACTCTTTAGGATCTTCTTCTTCAGCATAGAAACCTGCTGTTTTCCTATCTTAAACACAAACAAAAAACCCTTGACCCCACTTCCCTCTCCATGTACTGCCCCATTTTTTCTTTCCCTCTGAAGCACAAAGCATCACCAGAGGTGTCTGTATACTCCATAAATCCAGTTTTCCCATTCTCTCTGAAACCTTCTCCAGCCTAACCAGTCCCACAAAACCTCTCTCTTTAAGGTCACTGGTGATGCCCACTTTGCTAAATCCAGGGTCCTCATTGTATTTGATGAACATTAGTACTAAGAGGTCATCCTTTGCATTGTGTTGATAACTTACACAGTTGCCTACAGGATCCCACTCTTACCTCCTTGATGTTGTTTGGCATATTTCTGCCTTAGGGCTTTGCTGTGCAGACATACTTCCTCAAGGGCCTTGGCCTGCTTCAAGTATTTCTTCCTCAGACGTCACTTGCTGAAAGAGAGGACCACCATATTTAAAAATGCAGCCCACCCTGCCTGCCAAACTCCTGATTTTCCTTTACCTGGATTCTACTCCCCCTGCCCCAGCAGCCCCTTATTACTTATCACTGTGGTTTTAGGGTATTGGCTTTATAAAACTAGTTTGGAAACATTCCCTCCTCCTTTACTTTTGAAAAGAATATAGCATTGGTAGTATTCCTTCCTTTGATGTTTGGCATAACACACCCAGAATACCATCTGGGCTTGGAGCACTCTTTGTGGGCAGGGTTTTGATCATCAGTTTCTTTAATAGCTATAGGTCTTTGGGTTTTGCAGCCGGGATTTAGTGAGGACATTTGATTTTTTTTTTTTTCCTTTTCAGATTTTCTGTTCCCTTTTGTGTCAATTTTAGCAACTGGATTTTTTCAAGAAATTTATATTTTTCATCTAGGTTGTCAAATTTGTTGGCATAAAAGTATAATATTGTGTTGTCCTTTTAATATCTGTAGGCTAAAAGAACATAAAGAAAAATCAGTAAAACAAAATGCTCGTTCTTTGAAAAAAAAAAAAAAAAAAAAAAAAAAAAAAAAAACTCCATTAAGTGGGATAAATTAGACCA